GGGGCGCACAAACGCTTGGAACAGGAGAGTGGAAGAGATTTTGAAAGGTCATCTCGTCCTTCCCCCAGCCTCCAAGCTGGACCGCCCCTCCCACCCTAAACCCGGACATACCAGGCAAGGAGTTGGCTCTGCCGCGCTTTCTGCCCCAACATGCACAGACTCGGGAAGTTCTTCCTGGGGTTTTATCTCAAAGCCTCTCCCTTACATTTTCTGACTCTCTTTTGGGGGAGGAGGAGGGGCGATGAGAGAGATAGTTAATGTCTGCCGTATAAGAAACATTATTAAAGTTACTCTTCGGTCCTTTCTGTTCTTGATAAACAATTGCAGCTCCTTCCTCTTGAGTTGTAGTTTCCATTCCTTAAGTCACTTTAATGGCTCTTCAATAGAACAAATATTTACTGAGTGCTTACTGATAACCAGGCACTGTGCTCAGCGCTGAGGGGGATGCCCCTGAAGGGGGGCGAGGGGTGTGGGGGCGGTTAGGGAGAGTGGAACCCTGCTTCCCAGAGCTAGTAGTCTAGACAGGAGCTAAGAACTTATAAATAGCATACTCAGATTTAATCAATATTTATTGAGTCCCTGTGCACATAGTTAATAACATATAATCCTTACAATAACCCACTAAAACATAACCAATATCCGCTTAAAGGTAAGGAAAATAAGACTCAAGGAATCTCTTTTCCCAGCCAGTCGCTGTTCCTCAATGCAAGGCCAGTGGCTCACATTGTCGGGTCATTGCCATCAAAGAAAATGCATGCACATGGGAGACCCAGGAGGGAGGACATCTCTTGCTCCATTTAAAATGGGGTTCCCACTCCCCAGAAAAGGAGCGCGGGTGCAATGCTCTAGTAAGGTTGGCCCAGCACTGAGTGTGTGACAGAGGCCAACGTGTCTCTCGGTAGTAATTCACAGGGGTCTCCATTTCATTCTATTATCAGTAATAATAAATGACTTTGATGATAATAGGCGCTAACATCATCAAGCACTTACACGCCAGGCACTGGGCTGAGCTGGTTTATATGAATTTTCAAATACTCAAGGCAGTTCCTTTGAGATTGGCATCACCTGCCCTTTTGAGACAAAGAAACAAATAAGTTTCCTAAAGTCCCCCATGGAGTACTGGGATGTGAACATAGGTCTGAAGCTCTCCTGGCCTCTGCTTTTCTTCACACGGGGCCTTTCCTAGTTTTGATCTCTCATTGCCATCACATCAATTCTAACTCATGGCAACCCTATGGGACAGGGTAGAAAGAACTGTCCCTGTGGGTTTCCAAGACCGTTAGTTTTGATGGGACTAGAAAGTTTTGATTTTTCTCACTTGGAGATGCTGGTGGTTTTGAACTGCAGACCTTGAGGCCCTTAGGGAACTCAGCCTAACCTATAGTCACTACACCACCAGGGCTTCCATAGAGCCAGGTAGGTCTGGATATGCACTCTGCTGATCAAAGATAGGCGCCCTGGTGGTGACGGTGGTGTTGGACTGTGATCTCTAAGGGCTGCAAGGGTTAAAACTACCTGCTGTTCCACAGACGGAGCTTTTTACTCTAGGAACTTTCTACTCCCATAAAAAACAGTTCCAGTCTCAGAAACTCACAGGGACAGTTCTACCCTGCCCTACAGGGAGGCTCACTGAGTCAGCATCAACTTGAGTTGGTTTTGGCAGTGAGTCTGGTTTGGGTTCTTACCAAGCCCTGTTGGTGCAGTGAGGTAAGCA